TTCTATTATTAGCATAAATATTATTATCAGATTTGTCTCATATGTGCTTTTTACTGCAATTCTGATTTTATTTTAGGAGAGTATGACTTTCGTGATAACCAACGAAACAATTAGGGCAGAGGAGAATGAGGTGAAATGCAGTCGTTTCCCGATTGTTCTGGATGGTGATAAACGAAGGGTTTTCAAACTGCGTGATAGCCACGATATTGTTATTTATGATGGTAACAGGAACTGCTGGAACACATATCCACCAGCACCCAACACACATTATGACGTTAGCTTTTCATTTTTCAAAAATATTCCTATGACTAATAATACAAAAGTTTATGCGTTCCTTTTATCGTTGTTTCGATTTCCATCTCTCTAATGTCTTACTGGCACTGGCTTTCAGAAAAGCTACCCAGGAATTGCTGCTGCATTCTTTTTTGCGCAGTTTTCCTCCGGAATGAATTAGGCAAAGGAATTGCCTTGCACTGAGCCGAAACTTTCAAAGGCAGAAATCGGAAACACAATATGTTGACATTATTTGGAGACTAACTAGACTTGAAGCCAAACATGCCAGTTTTTAATAGAGAGGAATTACGGGAAATTTTTTTTTTCTCATAAATTACAACAAAACAAAGGCTGGACAGGATACATGTTTTCTTCCCCCCCCTTGCCCCCCCCCCCCTTTCCCTGCCGCTTCCCTCCACTCCTCTCCAGTAGATGTTTTTTTCATTTTAAAAAATGTCCCTTGTTTTTAGTTAAAAGTTTTTTGTTTTTAATTATAATTTATTCCTAGCTGAACCTACTACGTGTGAAAGGCATTAATGAAACGTATGGAATGACTGTGCATCGGATGACCGCAATTGAATCACCACTTAGTTTCTACGTCTGCGAGGGTATATGCATTGCAAGGGTAACTTTTTCAAAGTTTTGACTTTTTACTTAAATGGTCTTTCTGCCAGGGGCGGATCCAGGGTGGCCTCATTGAGGGGGAGGAGGAGATAGGTTTACCAGTGGGGCGATGGCCGGCGGGGAGTGAGGCTGCGAGAGGGGGGGGGGGGGGGGGGGGGGGGGGGGGGGGGGG